AGGTTGGATGGGGCTTGGAGCAGCCTGGGCTGCTGGGAGGTGTCCCTGCCCATGCAGGGGGTTGGACCTGGATCATCTTGAAGCTCCCTTCCCACCCCAGCCACTCCATGATGATTACTCTGTGATGATTCTCAACAAGCCCAATGCTCAACAACTCCCAACGTTGGCCACTACAGCACGTCCTGAAGGACCAAACCTGCACAGCTTGTGGGAGAAGCCGCTCATCAGGACGCTGTTCCGGGCCAGCTCACACATGTCACAGGAGCTCAGCTTCCAGACCTGGGTGGCAATGCTGTACTCCTCCATCAGTGGCTCCTGGGGGAATTGGGGGGGAGACACGGCCTCAGCACCCACCCATGGGCCCACCCCACATGGAAGTGAAGCTCCCCATCTTCTCCTAACCCTCTCTGGGCCACCAGCATCCTCCAGAGGTTGCTCCTGGCCACCACCAAGCCCATCCCACCACCGTGGCTTGGCTGGTGGCCACCTGGTAGGGTGGGGGTGGCCCGTGACAACACCCCCCCCCACCGGAATCTTCTTACCTTGGTGAAGTGGAACTGGAGGGGGTCATCAGTGGAGAGGGAGACCATGAGCCCCCGTGACAGGTACTCGGGCAGGGGGTTGCGGTGGTAGCTGAGGAAGAGGCTGTTGTTGCTCAAGGGGGACATGGCGATGCCGATCTGCGCCAGGTAGTACAGGTACTGCAGGACGGGGGCCTGGGGAGGGGGCACAGCAGGGTGAATGGGGGGGGTTCCCAACCGCACCCCCACCCAGCGGGCAACTCCAGAGCTTGCTCACCTTGCGGAGCAACAAGCCATGGGAGATGTTCTCTGAGACCATGAAGCCCGAGACCAGGTGGTGGATGGGCCCGGCCTCGCCGCAGTGCGGGCGCAGCACGAAGGTGTGGAAGCCTCTCTTCCTGCAACGTGGTGGGGCCAACCAAGCATCAGCACCACCTGAGCCACCCAGAGACCACCCCCGAGGCTGGGCAGAGGTGGCCCCCCAAGGTGTCCTTACCGTCGGAGGTGGTTGAGCACTGTCATGTTGGCGTACATGTAGTACAGGTAGTAGGAGTAGGGTGGGTTGTCCTCCTCCACCCAGTTGCCCGGCAAGGGGCTGTCCAGGTTGAAGATGTGATGTTCTGGTTTGGATTCATCATCCACGCTGTCAAAGCCATCCACCTGAGGGAGAGACAGCCCCGGGGTGGGATGGTCACCCTCCCACCAGGAGATCTGCCCCTCAGGATGGGGGCCGTGGGTGTCACCACTGTCCCCTGCCCCACGGTGCTCACATGCTCCAGGAAGAGGTGCAGCTCGGGGTGCTGTGCAGGGTGGACAGTAGCTTCATAGAGGGGCATGAAGATGTTCTCCAGCATCTCCTGGAAGTTGGCCAACTGCTTCTTCGTCCGGTAGACATCACTGCAGGGCGACAGCGAGAGCCGGTTGTCCCACCCCACCTCACCCCGGCCATCAGCTGGGTGTCCTTGATCACTCCCCAGCCAGGCTGAGGGTATCTCCCCAGCCTGTCACTCACAAGAGCCGGGGCACCTGGACCAGCCAGCGGACGTTGTTGGAGTGGACGCGGTGGTTGACGGCCCAACGGGCCAACTTGTCCCACTCGTCCCGGGAGCGGCCGTAGATGGAAAGTCGCAGCTCAGCGTTCTGGTACTTGCTCTCCTCCAGGTCAGACATCACCTCCTGCCAGGGAGGGCCCAGGGTTCACCTCCAGGGAGGTGGACACGGGTGGCATCAGAGAGAAGGAGACACGAGGGGCTCACCTTGATGATGTGGGCGAAGTACTTCCCCGAGACGCGGTTGTCGGTCTTGATGAAGATCTCGCGCAGGATGGACTCGCCGATGGGGTTGTACTTGGCGTTGAACTTGTCGAAGCGGTGGAAGGTGTTGCGGTCCTGGGAGGACACAGGGGGCAGCTGAGACCCCTCATCACCCCACAGCCACCACAACATCCCTGCCCAGATCTCCCAGAGCCACCCCGACATCCCTGCCCAGATCACACAGAATCACAGAACCCTAGAGGTTGGAAGGGACCTCGAAAGATCATCTAGTCCAACCCTGATCTCCCACAGCCACCCCAACACCCCTGCCCAGATACCCCAGAGCCACCACAACACCCCTGCCCAGATCCCCCAGAACCACCACAACACCCCTGCCCAGATCCCCCAGAACCACCACAACACCCCTGCCCAGATCCTCCAGAACCACCATGACATCCCTGCCCAGATCCCCCAGAACCACCATGACATCCCTGCCCAGATCCCCCAGAACCTCCCATCCCACCCTGGGACAACCCCTGGAGAAGACTCTCCAGCCCAGCCCAGGACTCCCCTCCTCTCCAGGGTCTGGAGGTGCCCTCCATACCGCATGGACATCCAGCGTGTCCACGCTCAGGTCGTAGGCCGTGAGGTTCATCGTCTCAAAGACCTCCTTGAGCGTCTGCTCCTTGCCCTTCTCCACGTGGACAATCTCATCCAGGTGCTTCTTCATGGCCCTCTTGATGAAGCGCAGGAGATGCTTCTGGTTCATGCAGGACGAGGCGTGGATGTGGGTGTCCACCTGCCCGGCCAGAGGTGTTTTGCTCAGCCCTGAGACCCTCCAAGTGCTCCCTGGTCAAGCCAGGACCCCCCAACCCCCCCCATGAGCCAGCAGGTACCTTGCGGATGTTGTAGAAGTCCCGGTGGGGCACCTTCTTCTGGGCTGCCAGCTCCTTCATCTCGTTGAGCAGCACGTGCATCTGGAACTTGGAGCTCAGGTACTGCAGGCGGCGGTAGCAGAAGGACTTGCTGCCCAAGGTGAGGAGGAGACATCACTTTGAGGGAGAGGAAGGAGAACATCCAGCACCGAAAGGCTGGTTGCCCACTGGGATGAAGGGACACAGCTCTGCACTCTTGGACCCTCTCCCTTGTCCATGGTGACCACATGGTGCTGTCCCCAAGGTTCTGTCCACCCCTCAAAGATTCCCCCTCCCCATGGTGGGAACCCCCCAGGCCACCCCCATGGTGGGACCCTTCTCCTTACATGGGCCCATTGATGATCAAAGCCATGAGGAAGTTCATGTCAGCGATGAACTCCTGCAGGTCAGGGTAGGGCAGGTCCAGCTCCGTGCTCCTGGGGGGACACAGAGGTGGGTGACCTGCAGGGACAAGGTCCAGCAGACACTCCTTGTCCCCCCACCACAGCCCCCCCCTCAAGCAAACCCATCCCACCAGTGAGCAGCTGCCCCGTGACTCACTTGTCGGTGAGGTCCTGCTTGGTGTAGACGTGCACGACACCATCCACCATCTTCAGCCCAAAGCCCAGGTCTGCTGGCATGGTCTGGGGGTCCCACCTCTCGTAGGGGTGCTGCTCGGCGAACGGGGGGTGCACGGGGGCATCTGTGGCCAGGAAGACACCCAACCAGACACGCACCATGGGACGGCTCCTACCAAACCCACCCAGTGACCCATCCCAGCTTGAAGACCCCACCACCACGTGCTCACCAGCAGCTACGGGGGTCTCAGGCACCTCCTCGTAGACACGGGTCTCCAGGGGTTTCTCAGAGAGCTCCTGCAGGTACCGGGCAGTGGTTTTGCAGAAGCTCTGCAGGGACAAGCCCATGTACTTCTCCCGTAGGAACAAGGCCTTCACCACGCTCTTGGCTGCATCCAGGAGGTCCGTAAAGGGCACCTGGAAGAAGGGGACACCCACATCAACCGTCACCTTCAACCCTGAAGACCTTCAGCCTCTCCTGGAGGGGTGTTGGGGGGTGGTCAGGGGTGGAGGGGCTCACCCCACACTTCTCCTCCCCGGAGATGGTGACTCGCTGGAACTCCCGCTCCAGCAGCGCTTCCCGCTCCTTGGGAACATGGTCCGACAGGTCCTCATGCTGCTCTTTGAAGAGCCTGTGGGTACAGGTGGTGGGGCAGTGACACTGGGTGTCCCCACCCCTCCCTTGTCTCCCCAGAACAGCCCCAGCACCCACCCTCCCCGGGGGGCTGCACCCAGCCCCGGGGTGGCAGGAGGGTGACGTTGTCCCCGGAGATGCCACCAGCGGGTTTGGGCAGCCAGGGTGTCACCCTGTGGGGGGTGGCATCGTGGTCCCCCCACCCCAGCCCCCAGCCCCACATGAGCACAACAAAGAGGTGATTTGGGGGGTGGGGGGGAGAGGGGAGAGGACAGAGAACGAAATAACTCGTGACAGAGACAATTCCCAAGCAGAGACAGGAGGGAGGAGGACACGCAGCATCAGGGACCACCCCCCCCGGGACAAAGTAGGGGGGTGACAGGACCAAGGTGGGACCCTGTGTCACCAGCAGGGCTGGGACCCCAACCCTCCCCCCACCCCGGGGTGCGTTAACCCCTTCAGTGCCGAAGAGGTGGGGGTGGGTGGGGGTGGCTTTGTGTTTAGGGGGGAGCAATTGTGGGGGGGGGAGGCTGGGTCAGAGTGGGGGGGAAGTCCCCAAAAAGGCCCCCCCCCAGCCCTGTGTCCCCAGCTGGTGGCCCCGAGCTGGACACTCACTGTAAGTCGGCAGCACTGTCAATTTTCAGGAAGTCCTGTTTGGCTCTGAGCAAAATGTCGGGCTCGAGTCTGGGGACAAGGAGGTGGCAGCAGGGAAGGGGCAGGGGGGGGGACACAAAGCAGGACAAGGTGGGTTTGGGGGGAGGGGGGAGAGAGGACACAGAGCTGGGAGAGGGGCATGGAGTGAGGACACAGAGCTGGGAGTGGGGACACAGAGTGAGGAAAGGGGACACAGAGCTGGGAGAGAGGACAGAGAGCTGGGAGAGGGGACATGGAGTGAGAAGAGGGGACATGGAGTGAGAAGAGGGGACACGGAGCTGGGAGAGGGGACGTGGAGTGAAGAAAGGGGACACAGAGCGAGGAAAGGGGCCACAGAGCTGGGAGAGGGGCCATGGAGCTGGCACAGAGGACCGACAGCCCCCCGGTGGGGGCAGGTGAGCTGTCCCCAGGGCAGCTGAGCTGTCCCCATGGTAGGGTAGGGGAGCTGTCCCCATGCTGGGGCAGGGGAGCTGTCCCCAGGGCAGGGGAGCTGTCCCCATGCTGGGGCAGGGGAGCTGTCCCCATGGTGA